CAGTTCAGGTGAAAAAGACGTCAAAAATTTGTGCACTGAATTGGAGTTTTAGTGAAATCGTAGTTTTGAGGAAGAATTTTTAATGCATTATTTTTTTTTTTATCGTACAGTTGTGATTAAACTGTTATGCTGTGGAAAATAATTTTTAAAAGAAAAAAAAAGAACTTTTATTCTTTATTGCCTTTTATAAATTAGTTCTGGGGATTTTTTGCACCACTTCTTGGAAATTTAAAGTTAAAAATTTGCACTGTTTCTCATTCACATAGATTAGCTTATTGAGAGGTTGGCTAAAGTGTCTTTATGACATCCCAGTATTAAGTTTTACTTAGGATATCTAAAATGAGGTGTCAACTGATTTTGAAACAGATATTTGGCAGAAAGTATTAAAAAATTTCAAAGTTATCATTAAAAATTTATGAAAATTATGCAGATTTATTCGGCGAAAGAAGAGAGGGATGAGGTAGCCTATTTTTGGTTTGAAACCACGGCACAAATAATTTAGATAACTTATTTTAGTCAGAGGCCCATAAGATCATTCTTAGTGCTTTTCTTCTAAAATAATGTAAAAGTGTATAGGGAATTAATTGAGGGCTTACAATTTCTAATCTTTGAATGAAGGTTTCAAAATACAACTTCATATTTCACTGGAGAAGACATTTTGTTCCTTTCCTTTTTCCTAAAAAAATCCTTGAGAATCTTCAAACCGGATGAGCAATTCAGAGTATTTTAGAGGCATTAAAAAAGTGTTTTGCTATTTTGAAGTTATTTTATTCAATTAAAAAGAGTTTAATGAATTTCTGACTCAATGATTCTTTTAAAAGCTCCTCCTAAACTGTTCTCTTGACGCCGAGATGGAAAATTAGTTTTTCTGTTTAAGTAAGAGATGAGAAAAATTTGGTAGAAGATGTGACCAGGTGTTTATTGTATAGAAAACGCATCGGATTCCGACATTATTCGTCTCGAAGCCCTCAGGAAAGAAAAAGTTGTTCATTCATCGCTGCTAGAAATTTTCAATGTCCCAGAATTCACCAGGATTATTATCGGTGGTACGACATTGCTTGATCGTTTTCCTTGAAAATTTCTTGTTCTTATACTTTGTTTTGCGTAGTGGCACTATGCTTTTGGCAGTTTGTTCAGAAAAAAAAA